GTATTCCCAACGTGTATCAATACGATCCCCTTCTGTTGGCAGTCTCTTTCCCAACTCTTTCCATGAACCTCTCTCTTTCCTTTCTCCGACTTTTCGAGGTGCCACTGTCAGCATGGCCGTTGAAAACACTTTTTTGGAAAGCGTTTTTGACTGATTACTCTAACTCTATGTGCAGCATCATGGCGACTGCCTCTGGGGCAGTCTGGAATTCTCGGCTTTTTTCTTGGGCTGATCGGAAAAGATGGACTTCGGCAGACAGTCACATTACATGCACTGCGTGTGATTGGCAACTCATGTGCTGATACAGGTGAGATTGCCACATCTTTAATGATTTATGGCATCTTGAAAACAAGTAACTGATTAGAACAAGACGAGAATCGTGCTCGAGTGGTTGCCTCCAACTGCATGCCGAGAATTGTGAATCTCATCAACGACGACTCAATGCTTGCATTTGCGATACCAGTCTTGTTCAATATTTGTGTCGACTATGGTAAGGCCCACGAACTCATCAGTTTCGTGTTCAAAGAAGTGCACTCACTGACAACCATCAAGAGCCCACTCAAGTAGCCGCCTACAAGGCCGGCATCAACCCTGAGCTTGTGACACTCATTTCGAGCCCAAGGGTTGCAAATGCTAATGCTTTCATCGGCTACATCTGCAAGCTCCTGGCCTTGGTAGCAAATCAAGAGCCCGAGGCAAATTCGGTACACCCGGCAACACCCTTTGTCCTACTCAAGCTTGCGACAAGCCCAGAGTCTCTTGCCGACGTGGAAGACTTCCTTGGTCCGGCTTCGGTAGCTTTGACTTATCTTTCCAACGAGACATTTCAGGAAGCCTTTCTCCAAACTCCCAACTCGATATCTTTGTTTCTCAGGGCATTCTCCGAAGCTTGCATCACTCTCAACCTGAATACATCGGATCCGGATGAGATCTCAGAATTGAGAAAAGTTAAATCCATCTTTACGCAAGCATTGGCAGATCTTTCGGCACACGCTCTATTCGCAGCGGCATGTCCTATTGGCAGCCCAGAAATACAAACCCTACAGAAATGGATCGGTAGTTCTCAATCAGATCTTCAGAGTGCTGCTTGTCTCGCCCTGGGCAACATTGCTCGCTCAGACGATGTATGCATTGCCCTTGTCCAGAAGATGGCGATCCACCGTTCATTGGCGGCTACCATTTCCAACCCTTCAATCACGGATGCACAACTTCTGCATTCGACATTGAGCTTTCTCAAGAACTTGGCTATTCCACTGGTCAACAAAGTTACCATTGGCGATGCGGGGCTCTTGGAGCCAAACGCTCTTCCTCGAATCTGGGAGCTTGATACACAGATCCAGGTACAATTCACATCAGTGTCTCTGACGAGATTACTATTGGTATCGAGCCCCGAAAATGTAAAGAGGATATGTGCACCCTTAAGCGCAGATCCGGCTTCTCCGGCATATGAGAAGACATATTTACACAATCTCTTGAAGCTTTTTATACGGTCTGATCAAGAACCCACCAAGACTGAGGCAGCACGGGCTACTGCAGCAGTGTTAAGGATCCTCCACTCTTCAGAAGACCCTTCATCACTTCTGCCTGTGCCGTCCACAACACCATCCGCAAGTTCGTCGCCAGACCAGTACGTCAACTCACCTGGTTCCTCGCCAGAGCCAACTGGACAGAATTCACAAGCACTGTCGATGACGGCTCCATCCGCGCTGGAGGCTTTCTACAACAACCATGACACGATTCCTGACGCACTCATATTCCTGGGAACTCGGGAGAAGTTTCCCGTCTTGAGATCTGATCTCTGGTTTGTGATGGCGCTCATGTCTCGCTCTGCGCGTGGTGCCGATCTTGTCGCCACATGCCTGCAGAACATTGAGCTCCTCCGCGCCCTGATACAGACCGTGACCGGCCATGACATGCTTGCCGGGAAGGAGTCGGAATTGATCGCGGCAGACGGAGCTTTGCACGGGTCTGCAATCACTGAGTCTGTACCTCCACAAAACCTTATTGCGGGCCAAGAAGACACGGGCATTCCTGGCATCTCGAGCCTTCCAGGTGTTCCCAATGGCCTCGAGCCACAGCAAGTCGACCCTGCCAAGAAAGCAGGCATGGCTCGTGTAGACCGCGAGAATGGACTCGTCCTCATTGCCGAGCTGCTCCAGCGTTGTCCAGAGAAGTTGCGCATCCTACCTCAAGAAACGTTCCGCGAGATACTCAAAACGGGAGGCGAGCAAGTCCTTAGCGACCGAGCCGGGGGCTCAGATGGTTCGCAATGACGGGGGTTGGATCCGGCCATCTTGATGCTTGGGCGGGACGCGATCATGGCTGATACCCGGCGCATGCACTTTGAGGAGTTGCTGGAGCTCATGCTATACCATTGAAGACTCCACCACCACCACCACCACCACCACTCGTGTCGACACGAGCAAAGGCATATTATTGCATCGGGGGTCCTCGTGCCATATCCATGATCACTTGCAGAACCGATGATTCCACCCAAGCACAGCTGCTGATGAGCAAGCCACCTAGCCTTGCTGAGCATTAATTAGAGAGTAAGGCATAATTTGGTCTCCAGAAAAGATGTTCGGATCCTCTAGATATAAAAATGTAGATGTATAGGGATATAGGTAGGTATTGGTAGTCAGACAGTTTGAAATAATCCATTAGGTAAAGCGCATCTGCATCGTCAGTCATGGGTCAGTAGTGCGAATAGCAAGTCAAGAGTACATGATGTCACATGAGAATCCAGTAATGATTCCGTGCAAGGAGAAATGTGGTATGGGAAACTATTATCCAGGATGGAGAAATTCACATGCAGGTGGAGCAGTTGATCTTGGGTCATTGCCATGTCGAATTCCAGCAAGGGTAGAGTGATGAAGCTATGGAATCGACAGCTCACCAAGGGCGCTTGTCTCTCGACGACTCTACCTGTCTGTAGAGACGCTTTGGGTCACACATGGAGGGATGAGAGAATCAGGTTCCAATTCTGAACACTGCGAGGACCCAAAAAATCGCCGTCAAGAACATCGCTTGAAGAGAACCCTTTTTTCTTTTCCCTTTTGATTCTTTTTGTCCAGAGATGATGAATTATCTTTTTCATTCGTCTTCTCTAGTTGACATACGGCATGCGACCAACCCTTTCCCTGATTGATATGACCATGACCGAACCGCCTTGCCTGTATGAAAAGGCATACAACGCACGAGAAGAAAAAGCAGAGCCCAAATTGCGATGATTGATGCCTTGATCCGTACTCCCGTGCATTCACTCAACTCTCGTCTCAGAACAGTCCCCTTTTCCTCGTCATGACGCTTATTTCTTGTTGGCCTCAGCCTCAGCCTTCTCCCGGGCGCGCTTCTCCCGCTGGCCTTGCTGTCTCTTGTTGCTTCTCTCGAGGCGGAGCTTGGTGTAAGCACCACCCTCGACGGCCTTGGGGACGTCGTTCTTGCTGATCTCGTACACACCCTCGGAGACGGGGACAATGGGCAGGGCGGCGGCCAGGGACGAGACGGTCTTGCTGACGTCGACGTCCTTGCTGTCACCGGCCTTGGGCTTGCCGGCCTTGCGGGGGAAGAGAACAAGCTTCTCCTTGTAGGCCTTGAGGCGGGCGACGTTGGCGGCCAGCGTCTCCTCGCTCAGGTTCTGGCGGCGGAAGTCGACGGCAATACCGATGGTGGGAGCAAACTGCTTGGGGATACCAGCGGCCTAAAAAAGTTTCCATCAGCGACCAATTCCATCGTACACACACAATTCCCCATCACCAGCGAAACAGGTCGCTCTTTCAAATCCTCCAAAACTCTCGGTGAAGACTGGGAAAGCTCATACCTTCAGCTCAGCCAGGGAGAAACCACGGCCGGCACGAACGCGGCGGTTGTATCTGATGGTCGGGCATCGCACAATGGGGCGGAGCTTGTCGACGGGGCGAGGGGCGGCAGCGGCAGCCTTGGCCTGACGAGCAGCTCTGCGGCGGATCTTCTGGGGAGCCTATTTCCATTGCCAAAAGTCAGAAAACAAAAAATGTCGTTTTGATTCGCGATTGATCGAGGACTCGTCTGTTCGCAGCGAGTCGACTCGATTCTAGGAAGTGATGATTCGTACCTGGTCGAAGTGGGTTCGGACCCGGCGTTGCCAATCCTTGCGGAAGTCTGTCGAAAACTGTCAGTCTTTGCTGTCTCCTTCTTCCTTCTGGTGCTCGTCTCAAATTTTCTCCTCGCTCTTCTCAGGTCGCCATGTGGATTGGTTGGATGTCGAATACGTACGGTTCTTCTGGATCTGGTTGTTGTGCTTGATCGCCTAAAAATTTCCAACAGTATCAGCAAACCGTTTCCGAGGGTGTTGCGATTCGCTCTTGCTCGGGGAGCCGCTCGGGCAAGGACACTGGCATTGGCGACAAAAAATGCAAGATGCCCTGCCCAGCGACAGCATGGCAACGTACCATTGTGACTGATTTGCGACCAAGATCTGGGAGATGGAGAAGGGAAAGTTGTCGGCTGTTGGGGTTAGTACTCTCGCAATGCCTTCTCTCAAAGATCGCTCCACGCAAATGAAAATTCGCCCGGGTTTGGCGTTCGCAAGGCAAAGCACGTCCCACCCCACAATGGGCCAAAATTTCTTGAAGGGCACAAAAACCCTAGGGCGATGTGGCTGGTGCGCAATCTGTGGCGCTAGGCGAAATCGCGGGTCTCGGTGGGGCAGCTGCGAGGCCTACAGCCAATCATTGTCGGTCTACACACTCGGAAGCCCACATTGCAGATGCTTTCTTTGTTGTCAGGCCTTCCAGTGGGAATATGCATTCATTGCTGAGTTCCAGCCAAGATCCAGCTCAATTATTAGTGCATGAGTAGTACACATCATGATCACATGGTATCAAGAATGGGAGATGTTCAAGACTTCAAGTCTTTACCTATCTATTTTCTACATAAAGGATAGACACAATCCATCTTGACTCTTCGACATTGTTTCTTGCCAGCTATGAATGATATTACTTGACGTCATTCAGCTTGACCCGCATCGAAGTAAGGCAAGAGCATTGTTCAATGCCTTTAAATCTAATGGAGAACCGATCCGAGTATAACTTGAATCCTTCATAGTCCGTACATTGGCTCCGAGATCAGCATAACCACTTTAAAGTTAGGACCGTGCGTACAGTCAAACAGTCTGTTGTAATCACTCAGAGTATTGAAGTCAACTTACATATCTTATTCCTCGCTTCGGAGTCGAAAATATGTAGCCAACACCTACCTCATCCACACCAGAGTGTATGTCCGTTTCCTAACAATATTCAAGCCCCGGAACCACCACTCACAGTGGTATTGGCGCAACATCGCCATCACTTATATGCGACCTGCCGAACAAACATGGCAGAACCAATTCGCAAGCATTATAATGTCTTCAAGTCGAAACCATTCCGCCTCGGTTGTTTTCACCCTGGGATTGCCAGCCTGTATGGTTTTTGAGGAAGACCTTATTATGAACAACAAGGCCCAAGTACCTGGTGCATGCAACTCAACATCGAAACGCGCAACAGGCAAGAATGAGCACGCCATCAATCTGCTTAGAAAGTGATTGGCTACATGTTACTTGTAATAGCAGATCAACGGACATGTGCGTTTTCATGTGCCACTTAGTGATACAACTCGTCATGCTTTATAATTCTGCCTATTTTAACAAATCCATTTCATCTGATTCCGATCCAAGGTTTGAGAAGCGCAATTTGGAGGCACTTTCCCCGCCGGTAATGTAAGAAGACTGGGGGGAGCCCGCGCCCAAAAAGGAAGTTGGCATATTAACAAGCCACGCGACAACTTTGGTATAGAGCTTCCTCTCATTGGCACGGACGTTGTGCACTCCTAATGAGGTAGCTGCTGGGGTGTGGTCAATCTATTTTCGTTGGTGATGCAAAGCAAATAATAATAATAATGATAATCGGGCTTCCCGGGTCCGCAGAAAACATTCAACGAGATCTCTCTCTCCGTGATCCATTTCTGAACATTTCTCTTCAACTCTTTTACACAGTCAAACCCCTCCCCTCCCTACCTGCAGATTGCCAAGATTTTCAATGTAGTCTTTCTGCACAAATGGTTGGGTGGTTGAGCCAAGAAAGGCCCGTGACATTTTCTACACAATGAGGCTCTCGCATCAGATTGCCTTGCAGCTCTCTGGCCTCTTTGTTGTGACATTTACCATCTTTTCTGGTTACTATATACTATTTTCGAGCTCATCAGATCACTTGCAGAGATTGCTCTTCCGGCCTTTTAGAGAACCAAAGCCGGGTTCGAAGTGTAGGTTGTCATCTTTCTTCTGAAATGGATATGAAATGGATACGGAAAATAAATTGTACAGAATCCCAAAGCCCCTTTTCTAAAAACTAATAAACCACATAGTCCCAGATATCTCAAAGCCAGATGGATTCAAACCGGTGACCCCCGAGGCCCAGGACCTCAAGCTATACGAAATGGCACCGTATGTTGCGGCAATCATGGATCCCACCGACGCCGTGATACACCGCCTCGAGTGTCCGAGACTGCTCACGACAAGGTACGCTCATCTCAAGGCCGACCACAAGAACCACCCGGATGCAGGAGGGATTAGATACTTCTTCGCGCTTGACCTGGGGAATTCCTTCCACGTCATCCCACGCCTACTCGGCTCCATTGTAGAAACGATCATGTTCCTGGGACCATCGGTCTGCGCACTGTCAATCGTCGTGGGCAAGTCAAACGACGCTACCTTGAACGTCCTAGAGGCTCTGCGCCCCGAGCTCGACGATCTGGGACTTAGATATTTCCTGTACTCGAGCCGTATTGACCCCGGATCCGGCGATCGCACAGTCCAAATGGCAGCGCTTCGCAATCTGGCCCTTGCGCCACTCGAGGAACCTGCTCTAGGTGCCAATGCAAACACGACTGTCGTCTTTCTCGGCGATGTGGCCATCTGCATGGATGACATTCTGGAATTGGTTCATCAACGCATCTTCCTGGGCGCCGACATGACGTGCGCACTGGATTGGGAGTATCTCGGTCAAGACCCAACGTTCAAGGGCATTCGCGTGTCGCGAACGATGAAGGGCGAGACCTTCTTTCAGATTCCACCTGACGGGAGCTGGGATTGGGCATGGAACTTGTTTTGGAATGACCCATACAGCCGTGAAAAGCTTACAAATAAGCTGCCATTCCAGGTGTACTCCTGCTGGAATGGGGCGGTGGCGTTTAGGGCCGCACCGATACTGAGGTTTTCGTCGGTGGAAGAAGATGGCCACGGGGGTAATGATGTCGGGAAGACGCAGGCAGAAAAGATTTCGTTCCGCAGCTCTAGAGAAGGCGAGTGCAGTAATGAGGAACCAGCGCTCTTCTGCAAAGACCTCTGGAATTCTGGCCACGGCAAGATCGCCGTGGTGCCGTCAATCAATCTCGAGTACTCAGATGACGCGGCTAGGAGAATCAAGGACCTCGAAGGGTATACATCGAAATGGATCAACAAGTGGGGTGATGATGCCTTGAGGATAGACTGGGAAGACGAGCCGCCAGCCAAAGTGAAATGTATTGCTCAAGACTGGAAGAACCAGGACTGGCGACCGTGGAACGAGACAATGGTATAATGGACAACTTGTTCTTGTAATTCCAACCTATTCCCTGTCCACGATCAAGAGCTTCTCCCCTTCCCAAGATACGCGTTCCTCTATCTCGATACGTATGCCTTCGATGAATTCTTTGGCATTTTCTTGAGCGTCAGGGTCACGTATTGTTGACCATACTTCTCTTTCGTCCTTGGAAATATCCAACAAAATGTCATAAAGACCCTTTAGCGAAGGATCCGACTCCCGAAATTGAGCTCCATTGTCAATCAAGATTTTCAATGCATCAAGCATGTGTCCTGCTTGACCAAAATCAATTTTCTCGTCGTCGTAGCAGTCTTCGTATTCGTCGCCATCCTCGTCAATAGATTCGTAGAGCCTCTCGTAGTCGTCTTCGCTTGCCCCCGCAGCAAAGTATTCCAGTAGATCCTTGAAGAGAATTACAAGGCGCGACGGAACAGAAGACCCCCTGGGGGGTGCGTAATTTACATCGACACCGGCAGCTATCAAGGCCTTGATTGGCCGAGGATGTATCGGATGGCTACAAGCGGCAAGGAGAGCCCCGTAACCTTGATCGGGAGTTTCAGAGATGGGCCGACTGAGGGATTGTAGCACGAGTTCGAATCCCTTATAATCATCCTCTACTGACGACAAGTTCATGGTGAGGAGGGCGAGAGGGCTTTGACGTCCCATATAATCCGTAGGACGATTACACAGATCCAGCTTTGCCCCGTTGCTGAAGAACAATTGCAGCAAATACCAAGATTTCGTATCTCTGAATTGTTTCCTGCCTGCAATGAGATGATAAAGCAATGATTGTCCAGGTGGGCCAGCACCTAAAGCAATAAATTTCTCGGCGTGATATACCAAGGATACGGGATTTTGGGAGAGTTGATCCAGGCCTAGGTATGCGATTAGCGATGGTTGTTTCAATGGATTTACATACGTGAATATCGAGCTGTGAGAGACGGAACCTCTTGGGTGCTGGGCGGGGGACCTACAGTTGCGACCTTCTTCTACCCACGATGCGTCCAGAGCTCCCGCCTCTAGAAACTTTCCGACGAGGGGCGATCCAGGTACACCGGCCGCTATCCAAAGACAGCGAGGGTGCTTGGCCAGCATATGGTGCTTGTCGTGACTGTGTAACAAGTCAAGGCCATCGAAGATCTTTTTGCGCAATCCTGACAGCATTGTGCGTTTCTCAGGATGGCTCCATTCTTTCCATTTGGGCCCGAACATGTCGATACAGTCTTCCTGCTCGCCAGAAAAATCTACAGGCACAAAATCCTCGTTTTGATAAAAGGGTTTGTGGTTTGACAAGAGACCCTCCAACAAATGCAGCAACGAGTCAGCGTCGCTTGGGAAAACAGCGCCGCTCTGGATCAATAGATCACAAAGTGACATACGTCCACGCCTGAATGCAGCCATGAGTGCTGACGAATTCTGTTGAGACTCGGGAAGGGAAGGGTCGATGACCATTGAGTCCACAACAGCCCCTTTGTCGATGAATAACTGGGCGAGCTCAAGCTGCTCAGAAATTTGTTCAGCAGTTTGATATCCTGGGCGGTTGCATAGACAGTAGAGGACTTGATGAGTACTGCTCTTCTGCTCGATGTCTGCATCATGGTCCAAAAGCCAATTAATGGTTCTCGACATCTGTGCATGAGTCGGTGGTTGTCGTGCAGCGTAATCACCGTGGAGAGGAGCACATAGAGGAAACATCCCAAGATGATCCATGACTCCGACTCCCGTCCCAGTCTTGATGAGTATCTCCATGATAGGTACCAGATGGTTTTGTGCAGCAAGCACCATGGGAGATGGCTCAAAAAGTCCATCTCCTGGCCTCGACCCTCGGATTCTTGCACCCTTTTCGACCATCAAGGCAACAAGGCTGGCACGGTCGACCTCTGAGTCAGGGGCACTAAAGTATGATGAATTGCGTGTGTCCCGTGAGCCGAAGATATTCAAAGCAGCCACTCCAAGGACAGATGGGTGCCCCGTCATGCAACAGCGCTCTAACGGTGTGAAAGCCGCCACTTCAGACGTTAACTTCAACTTTGAGTCGCAACGAGCACCGGCGTGAATATAGGCTTTTGCAAGTTGAAATCGGCCAAATATACAAGCAACCTACAGCATTGTCAATGAATTTTGAAATCTTCCTCGTTTCATCCATCCTTATTTGCTACTCACCTGTAACATGTCTGCTCCATTAATGCCGATTCTCACGTTGGGATCAACCCCGTGCTCTATGAGCCAAGAAATTGTCTCAGTGCTTCGATTTGAACTGTGAGCATACAGCATTGTTATAGCTGATGATTTGTCTGCCAGGTTCAGATTTATCTTAGGTTCCTGGTCGTAAAGAGCCTGCAGAACGGATATGTGGCCCATCTCAGCCGCTTGATGCAGGGCTGTAGATGTATGCCAATCATTGAGCCATGAAGAAGACCTGCAAGATATCAAGTAGCAAGCTACGGCCTCATTACCAGTGCAAAGAGCTGTGTGTAAAGGAATCCAGCGACCCATGTCCAGTCTGAAGTCGCCCGACCTCTTCTTGGGCTTACAGTGACAAAATCGTTGTGATGGGGGTTCAAGTAATGCCCCAGACTCAACAAGGAGCTTGACAATTTCAAGCGATCCTGCACCGGTAGCGGCACTAGATGTGTTTCAGAGTCAAAATCTTTTTTTTT